CAGAAAGAAACACACACAGACACAGACACACACACACACACACACACACATCGTTGTCACTTTGACATGGAGGTATAAAGCATCATGAACGCTGAACTTATAAAACATTATTTCCACAATTTTTTATTCTTTATAACCCTTAAGAAGAGTTTTATGAAGCCTTATGAATTTCAAACAAACAACTCAATCTCATCAAACTTGTGCTGCTGCTGGAACTCTTCTCTGGCTGGAGGAGGACAGCACACACACACCTGTTCACAAGATCTCTATTTGTTTACGTTTCCACATGTGTCTTCTTCAGTGGGAGCAAGAACACTTCTTCTTCTTCTTCTACTTTGGGGTTTTACGGCATCAATTACGTGGCATTGCTGCCACCTCCTGGATCTAGATCAATACTGTGCTATCTGCATACTACAACCTTTTTTATTAAATCAGTGTTATCTTCACACTAATGTGTATGTTCACGCCGTTTGTTTGTATTTAGTATTCTTTACTTTTAGTTTATTAAATACTTGTAGTCATCACACAGCAGCAGGATCGATGTCTCCACATTGAAAGAGGCGTTCTGCGCATTTTACGCACGTGGCACAGCCTCGTAAACTTCATTAATTAGGCCTTCATTAATTAATATATCTCTCATCAAGACCAGTGAGGATGTAACGGTAGTGACCTGACCGTAAAAACATCTGGAAGACAGCAGCCGTCCTCAGGATGAGTCCATCTCCATCAGAGCTGTCGGGACATTTTGATTGTATCTAAGCATACTCAATTTGCTATGGATAAAAAAGATGAATGTTATATCCTGTTGATTGTTGTTGCTGCTTAAATTAAAAATCGTTCAATATTTGCAACAGAGACAACACTTTTACGTGTTATTTTACCACACGTGCTACAGTATGACTAGTCGTCTCATTACACAGAGGAGACGATCATTACGCACAGACAAGAAACACTGAAATTCATCGTTCAATTCACTTAAACTGAAATAGAAAAACACCATTAAGTCAACACACAAGAAACAACTGAACATCTGTTAGAGGGCTGTTGTTGCATTTCACAACACGTCAGCCTCTTTCTGGCCACTCAGTGTTTCTTAAGCTACATTCATAGTCCAAAAAACGTATCTAGTTCTGTTTAGTGTTGCTTCATATTGAGAAGTATATATAGTAGAGTAACAGTCCAACATTTTGGGAAATTAACCACATAAAGCAGAAATATACACATGGCATGGCTTGATACTAGTAATATTATTTTATTCTAGTAATATTGTGTCTGATGAAGACAAATGTTCATGCAAGAGTTTGGATAAAACATCACCAACAAAAACACAGACGCCCCTCTGAACATGATCCTTGATTATGGATCCTGTTGGCCAGTTGATGTGATAAAGTCCAGATTACAGCAACTACAAAACATAGTTTGACACTGAAAATACAGCAGGAATATAATCTTTGGTAAAGATGAGGAAATCCAGGAGAAATATGAGGAAAACATTATAAATTGAGAAAATGACATCATTGAATTCAAGAGGTCGCATAATGAATGAGGAGAAATCTCTTAAATACAAACAAATGAAGGTGCATTTGAACGCTGGAGGTTCATTGCTTCTTTTTATCAAAATGCAATTCCCAATAAGGCAACTTTCCCTTTGATGAAAAGACATTTCCCTTAAAAATTGAATTAAAACGAATACTGACAGTTTGCTTCTGATAGGTAAAAGAAATCAGCAAACACTTGTGACCCATTTGCCAACACAATCATCACATAAATACCAATTTTCTTCCAAATTGATATTTTCCCAAACTTTCATACATAATTTGAGCTACATCAGGGCTCTGCAATACATCACAGGAACAGATTCATCATGTCATTACTCACTGAGATTAATCCCATAATATCCACATCTCTTGACAGTGTTACCTGCTCTGTAACTACTCTCTGACATATTGTGTATTTCCCAAGAGTCAACTTGTAAACACAAAAAAAACACACGTTTAAAAACATAAATAAATGCTCTGATGGTGTCCCTTAACGGATGGTACTCGCAACATGGGAAGTGAAGCCTCGACATGTTTGAATTGAGGATAGAAGAGAGGAACAGCAGGGACTCTACCATGATGACAGACGCGCCAACTAAAAGTCCTGGATTGACTTATTCTGTTAAAAATGAGCGCCTGGAGTTAAACAGTTAAATCGACTTCCCCAAAGTGCAGCTGTCACAAAAAAGCTAATTTAAAGTTTCATGTCTGAAGTCATCTTAGACAGTTACACTTCTAATGTCCCATCTATTTATAAAGAGATTCATCAAAAGAAAAGTAAAGGAATAATAACATAAGAATAATAAAAACAAGTGTAGAAAGACTTGATCTAATACTAACAGTAACTGAAGAAGAGGCAATGATGGGATGAAGAACCGTCTCTTTGGTAACAACACATCTGACGCAGTATGTTGAAGAAGACCGGTGTAAAAAGCATGAAGTAGCGTCGTACGTTCTCGCGTCCTGTCGGTTTGGGCTCTTTAACACTCTTCGTACAAGCAACTCTACTTTCATGACGACGGTTAAAAAAAACCATAATCCACACACTTATTGACAACACCTCACGATGACAGTCTAGCTCTTCATACACCAGAAATAAAACAGACATCAGGGCAGCTCTTTTTACAAACTGGGCTAAAAGGTGCTGATGCGGGGGCCTGAATGAGGACGCATTCTACTACATGCTTTCACACAAACATGCTCTCTTCAAATGACAAATCTAAAAAAAACATCTTGGAGTTTGTTGAGAACAAATACTTCATGGGAGTTCTCTTTTGTCTTTCCTCTCTGCCGTAGGGGGGGGGGTCAGAGGTCAGGGACACTCGTTAGGACGGACTTAAACCTGGGTTTAGATGAAGGACGGTCTCCCTGTTCAGTTAGATCACCCTGAATGTAAATAAAATGTTGCGTCCATGCGGTTATGTTGAGAGGAATGTTGACCTAGACGGCTTGATTGTTCAGCTCAGACAGTTGGGTTAGTATTTTAGTCTTTTTAAGTTTAAACTATTGATTGCTGCTCACATTCCCAAATGAAACTAAGGGGTTCAGATAGCTGCAGACAAGCTGCAATAAAAAAAAACTATGTCTGATGAGAAAAATAGCATTCAGAATTACACAAATTCACTAAGATGTGAAATGCCAAGTGTCTAGTTTTAAGTTCATTCTTGTGGACTGATCATGACCGCATCGACTTTACTGGGCAACAGTGCAAAGGCTTATAGAACAAGTAGGACTCACAGCAACAGAGCAAGCTAACTGGCAGTCTTTGTAATGGAGCGTGGCTGGAAATGTAAGGCACTACAGTCTGGTGGTGGTACCGAGATGGAAGGACGTCCGTCCTCAATTCAGAAACTCCCCGAATCCGCTCGTTGCTGTCTTCACATTCGTAACATTCAAAACAGGAGAGCAGAGATCGTCTCTGCAGCTCGGTGACTTCCCTCTCCATGCTCGCCGGCACGTGCTACTTCTCAGGTAGAGTTCAGGAGTGAGGATGGAGCGTGAAGAAGCCGTACGGAGGAGACGAAGGGGGAGGATTCGCGTGTGCTTACAGTCGAGTGAAAGGGCCCACGTGGAGAGGCCCTCTCAGTTTGGGGGAGGAGCAGGAGTTGGTGGTGAAGATGGAGGTGGAGGACGGGGAGGAAGAATAAGGGGATGAGGATGCAGATGAGGAGTCACCGCCGCTGTTCAGGGCGAAGACACTGGAAACGGCCACATCCACGATGCCTTGACATAGCTCCGGATACAGTTTCCTGGAGGGGGAAGGTTGACTGATTTAATCTAGCAGAGGAAAATAACTGTCATGGCATGTTTGCATTGAATAGCGTCAAGTTCACCGACGAGTCAAAGTTCCAAAAATAAAAGTTCAGTAAGGAGCAAAATTCTACTGTTTATCTTTGAAACGATGATAATGCTTTCAATGCTTTCCTATTTCTGACTCTGACCCTCCAAGGAAGAAAAACAACAAACATACACACATTTTTTACATAATAAGGGAAATGGATTCAAAGCTTGTTTTCTCCATATTTTAAACGGAGGCCAAGAGAAGTCTAAATGCAGACTGCAGGTATAGATGTGAATAGGAGACAGAGAACAAGGCTGTAAGACTCCTGGACGGGGGGGAAAAAAACAGTAACAAATAGAAGTGAAACATTTTGAACACAAATGATCAGCTGAATGGTACTGACTGCGCACAGGCCGGAGCTCCGTTGATCTCAATGAGCCACACTTTGAAGCTCTCGTCCACCATGAAATCAAATCCGAAGAGTTGGAAGCTCTGGTAGGACAGGTGCTTGGTGCTGATTGTCGGCTCAATACATGTCAGACAGCTCCTGTGAAACCAGACGGCAAAATCATTTTCAATCGCCGGGCAGCTCGACAAAACACCTCAACAACGCCCCGCCGCGTGCTAACACTCGAGACGATTCATCAGGAACGCTTCTTTACAGACCTCGACTGCCGTTTGAAAGAGAAGTGCGCAGTAAAAGGCTAACTGCCAAAGGTCCCACAGCACATATTACAGCTCCGTGACTAGCTTTGTGGTCTCGATAATAAAGTCAGATGTCAGACGTAAATAGCTTTATTCTCACTCATATTGCAGGTATCAAGACAAAGGGTCTAGAACCACCGGCTCTGTGAGGCTGATAATGCCAGCATGTTGATGTTTAGCAGGCAGGATGTTTATCAAGTTCATCGCGTTAGTTTAGCGGGTTTGCATTCTAACATCTGCTAATTAGCACAAAACAACAACAAGTACAGCTGATTTTATCTGTATTTGGTCATCAACCCAAGTAATGAACAACATGAAAGTTTAACCAAATGACTGTGAATGTCGGTGCAAAATTCCACGGCAATCCATTGAATAGTTGTCGAGATGTTTCAGTCTTAACCAAAGCGGTGGACTGACTGATAGATCAACATCCCTAGAACTGCTACCTTGTCTAAAAGTGCCTCACCTACGGGGTGAGTTTGAAAGCCAAAGCACCTGTTTTTGTTTTTAGTGAACAATCCTATCAAAGTCCCCCCAAATATAATATGATTTTATGCTCATTTCGCCGAGCTGAAGTCAGTGGCTTTCACATTTGCCAAATGTCCTCGTATAAAAACGTTGTCTCATCTAATCTGTCGTGTTTATATCCAGTTAGCTATAAGAGCAATACTTCATTGACTTATTAAGTAACTTGAACGAGAACATGTTATTTACATTCACTGTCAACTAAGACAGATTTGAGTTGACAACTCAGTCAGCATTTTTTTCAGTAGTAGAGTTTGAAGACGCACACAAATATGCTAGTTTTTGTGTTTGGATACAGTACGAGACTGGAAAAAAACATGTATTTCATGTTTCAATGCGATAGCTTAGCAATGCTTTCTATTACCTGGGATCCAACGATAAAAACAGCAGCAAAAACAAAAAGGACCTACTTTATGATCTGCTTGATCTGAGGTAATATGGAGGTCTCCAGGGTGACGTTGTGAGTGTTCAGCAGGTACAGCCTGAACTCATCAAAGAACATCTCGTTGCCCTCCTCGTATCGTCCGTAGTTGTGGGAGTGCTCCTTCTGGATGCAGTGGTTCGTCAGGTGGCTGGTCATGTCCTGGAGATCAGAGCTGTTGTAGGGCTCCGAGGACGTCCGCAGCACACCCTCCCGGTATAAATAGATGTTGTAGTGATGGTCCACTAGCACCCAGCTCCTAGCAACGGCATAGCGTAATAACAGCCTCAGTTACAAAGTCCAGACAGACTGACGTGTTCTCTGTGGGCTACACGTAAAACACTTGCCTGATGTCAAACTTCCGATCTCCCGGCTGCAGAAGCAGAGGTTTCTCCAGGTACTTCTGAATAACATGGACCTGCCCCTGATTATCGATGTACTCCAGCAGCTGATTAGCATCATGGGATATCAAAATACCAGCACCTGTTGCAAGACAGAACAAATATGTGAAGCTGCCACTGGTGTCATAAACCACAACTTAAAATAGTTGACAAAAAAAGGAGTAGGTCCCATAAAAGGGGATTTATCACAGAAAGATTGTTGCCTTTAGCAGAGCAAAACTCTTCAGATTAGCTCAGAAAGTGTATGTTATCTATGTCACACCAAAGGGGAAATGTCAGACTAAGGCTTACTCCTATCTTGGATTTGAAACAATAATACGTGGATAACAGATTTTACCTTTAGCTCCGGCGGAAGACTTGGCTATCCACACTGTGCCCTCCCCACTTTCCTTTTTAGAGTGATAGGAGGCCAAGAAAACCTCCCGCTCATCCGTCCTGGGATTGCTCTTCAGATGGCTGATACCATTCGTGGCTGGAGCAACCGGGGTCTTGAGGTCAGTGGGATAGATGATGTAGGATTCTGGAAACCAGTTACAGGAGTCGGACAGCTCTGGGCTGGTCTTTATGAGCCTAATGGCAAAGAAGGGAAATGATCAGCTAATGTAACCCCCCTTTAAATAATTCATGCGCAAACAAAGTACACATGAATGACAGCAAAAGATACAGATGTGTCATTGAAAAAGGAAAAATACGCACTTAACCAGGGGCGCCTTTCTGCAAAGCTTGTCTGCTCCTCTGTAGTAATTCACCAGCTGCACCAGTCCTGGCTCGTGACCTGTCGGGACCCACGTGATGACATGGACATGGATTAAAAACACATGCGTGCACATCTAAACGAGAGGGACCATCTTTCCACAGGATGCTGGAGGAAGCATCCCTGCGCAGTCACAGCAGCTGCCTCACCCTTCACACCAAATACGGCACACAAACAGACTCGTGTCAGCGTCATATGAAATAAGAAATAAAAACATATTTACCCAGACGTCCAAAGGGCAGTCTGTTCCGTTCACCAAGCATTAGGTTAAATCTGGGATTGTCTCTTTTCAGCCTCTTCCATTGTCCGGTTGAGAGGAGGATTTTGGAAACTTCTGCATAAACAGTGCTGTTCTCGTCACGGGTGACAAACGTGTACATCGGGTTATTCATGCTGCCACGCTGACAACGAGGGGGTAATATAAACAGTTGAACGTCTGAGTAACTTCGCTGTGTAGCTAGGTATGAGACTGTCTGGTTGGCCCTGCAGCAGACAGACTGTTCGGGGTTATCTCCTCCGTCCGTGCCATGACGATGAGTCAGTCATATCCAGCACACACTTCCCAGTTAACCGCTAACTCCCAGTATTGTTCTGAAGCTCCAATTCAGAACAGAAGGTTATTAGTATTTGTTTGAATAAAACACCCTAACATGTGGAGGATATGCAATTTAAGGTCCCTGCGCAGACAGGGTTCCCTTGACCCAGACAAGGGTGTGACTGACTGCTGCAACCGGCTCCTGGGGCTGGTCCCGTCTGGATGAACGATAATTGAGATCCCGTCTCCGGTTTAGCTTTGGCTAACGGACTGCGACCACTATGAATAGCTATTCAGGAAACTTTTTTTCTGTATCTCTCATCAAAGACAGAGATGTTAATACCAAATAGTGCAGAATATGAACTAACTACCCAGTTAGCTACACAATATCACAAAAGCGGTTTTTTTCCCCACCGGCGGCGTATTCTTTGATACTCTGCAGCTCGACAGTCGCTGTCATCCACAGTCGACAGCCTAAACAAAAACCTCCACGTTTGTGGTTACTGTAGTTTACGCGTACACTAATAACAAGAGTAATACATATTCAAATATGTCTAACACACATTCTAAGTAAATAAACACCATTCTGAATGCAATTTATGTAAAGGCATTCTTCCCTTCAAAAATATTTACGTTGAAATTCAGTGCCCGACTGAATTTCAACAAAGCTGCTACTACATTTCCCAGCATGCCACACGATAAAGCGACACTCTAATCCTTACATTTATCGTGTTGTGGTTGTGGCTTCGGCCAGAAGATGGCGCCGTACACCTCACTACACCGTTAGCAGGTCGGACACTTGTGTCTTTGGTTGATACCACAGTCTGGAGAATAAAGTTGTAATGCTCGAAAGAAAGGGTAAGACTGTCTCGTAGTATGTAATATATTATCACGAATCCAGAAGCGTTACGTGGAAATTGACAGAGCGACATAATAACACATAGCAGCTCGTGGCCGCTCTCTGGGCGGACCTGGGGGATAAATGCAGCACTCCCTAGTTGTGACAAGTTATGGGTCCCGTTCCGACATTTTCAAAATAAGTTATTTGCCTCAGCTTAGCTCTTTATTATTCTCATATTTTCATCATAAGTCAATGTTTTGTAAATCCAATACGGATACAACTTGTTTAGTTTTGGCTGGAGGTCTCTCTCTACATTAGGTGAAAGTGAAAGAACAAATTTAGGTTTTCCTGAGAACGAATTGTGACGTGACAGGAAGCCGGTCAGCTGAAGAAGAAACAAGTGGCGGGAACAACTAAACAGCAGCTTTTAACACGATGGAACCCCTGTATGTTTAGTCTAGCACCTATTTACTTATCAGAGGATATCCCTAATAGTAAGTGTCGTCTGTAATCCTCAGTGTTGTGGCCTGTTGTGTGTTGCAGTGTATTTCCATTGAACACGTGATGTCTGTAGTTTGTAAACGAGTAGGACTGTTTACAGACTGTTTATAACTGCATGTCACAGAGAATACAAGCTAGGCTCCCCTGTCAGTTGAATGAATGTTTACTAAAAGTTAAATGACACTGCAGACGTATGGCCAGTTAACTTCCCTCGAGTTACAACTAACATCAAATGAGATATTTAACGTTATCTTAGCTGCTCAAAGGGGCGTTGGACAATTCTTACACATTGTCATGTAACGTCGCTGTTCATCATGTGACAACAGTTTTATATTCCCCTCCGTGGCTCTGGAGAAGCTTGGTTAAAACTGACAAAACAACAATGTTTAGAGGTAAATTAAACTGTTGTATGCAGACGAGCAAAGCATGTTTTTAAAAATAAAAGTGGTGGAGTTGCAAAGACTTTTGGGCATTTGACGTCACCAGGCTGGGAGGGTCTTAACTTAAGGCAGCGATGCTAATGAGTGGGATGTATACATCCATGCTTTGGCCATGCTATTGACTGAACGTAGGCAGTAAGCAGAGCAATACTAAATCAATGGGTCCCTGTATCATATGCATGCTCATATAACAGTATATCATTTAATTAGATGTAACTTTTTTTAGTGTGTATGGGTCAGTGATGATGCATACCCTGGCTTTTACTGAGATCATGTATTTTTAATAACTTTGGTCCCTTCTCCTCCATCACACTGGAGCAGGCCAGGCATGAGTGGAGCACACCTGGACGAATGGCAGAGGAGGTCCTTTGACATTTCATCTGGCAACTGTACACCTGAACAGACGGCCGATGCCTACCGGGCCCACGTCCTCTCCATTCAGTATGCATGGGCAAGCTCCCAGCTCTCTCAGGCCGGCACGGCCAGCCTGCTCAGGACCTACTCGGAGCGCTACGCCTCGGTGCTGGACTCGGATGACCCCCGCACGGGGCTCAACAACTACGCGGAGAGCGCGCTGCATCTGGCCCGCAGTCAGAGGAACTACAGTGACAAATGGGAGTCGTCGCTGACCACGGAGAGTGTGCTGGAGCTGCCCTGCGTGCAGAGGATGTTTCAGGCAGGGACAGGGGGAGGAGGCTCCCTCGTGGCACCAGGAGATGTTAACATAACTGTGGGAGGAGAGGGCAGGTTACTAACTAATATGACTGTTGAGAGGCCAATAGGCTCTGAGGGGATTTCGGGTAATCCAAACTCGTTGTCCCGACCTCAAGCCCGACTGCAGTCAATGTTTAGTCATTCTTCTCCAGTTCCTCCACAGGGAAACCCTGGTCCTTCAGGGGGGCCACGGAACTCTCAGTCCTCCTTCTTCCCCATCTCCAACCCGTCTAAGCGGAAGAATTTTTACAACCCAGATGGAGGGGATGGTGGCAGGGGGCAACACAGAGGTCAAGGGGGCACTGACCCACGAGCTGGAGGCAACTTCAAAACAGCTCGCGAGCAGTTCATTGTGGATCAACAGAAGAAACACTCCAATCAGCCCCAGAGGGGTCAGACCACGGGGATGGCAGCAACTTTGAAGAAATCTCTGGGTGCTAACAGGCCCCGAGGTACATTTTCTAAATTTGTGTCACCCATTCCGCGACAGGAGGAGGAAGATGGAGGGGCGAGCCATAGTTCCAACCAGGAGCCTCAGATCCTGGATGAGCGTCTGAAAAACTTTGAGCCAAAGATAATCGAGCTGATCATGAGCGAGATCATGGACCACGGGCCTCCCGTCAGCTGGGATGACATAGCGGGCCTGGAGTTTGCCAAGACCACCATAAAGGAGATTGTGGTTTGGCCCATGTTGCGACCCGACATCTTTACTGGCCTCCGTGGTCCATCCAGAGGCATCCTGTTGTTTGGACCCCCGGGGACCGGGAAAACTCTGATTGGTAAATGCATAGCTTGTCAGTCGGGCGCCACCTTCTTCAGCATCAGCGCTTCATCGCTCACATCCAAGTGGGTGGGCGAGGGAGAGAAAATGGTGCGAGCCCTGTTTGCCATTGCCCGCTGTCACCAGCCCGCTGTCATTTTCATTGATGAAATCGACTCGCTGTTGTCCCAGCGGACAGACGGGGAGCACGACTCGTCGCGTAGGATAAAGACGGAGTTCTTGGTTCAGCTGGACGGGGCGGCAACGGCCGCCGAGGAACGCATCCTGGTGGTGGGCGCCACCAACCGTCCTCAAGAGATAGACGAGGCTGCCCGGCGACGCCTGGCAAAGAGGTTATACATCCCCCTGCCCGTGGCAGCCGCCCGTTGGCAGATAGTAACGAACCTCATGACTCAGGAGAGGAACCAGCTGAGGGAGCAAGAGCTGGAGAGCGTGGTGACAGCCACCGAGGGCTTCTCTGGGGCTGACATGACTCAGCTGTGTCGAGAGGCAGCGCTGGGGCCCATCCGCAGCATCCAGGTCAGTGACATCACCACTATCACTGCAGATCAGGTGCGAGCAATCCTCTACTGTGACTTCCAGGAGGCCCTGAAGACGGTACGACCCAGCGTCTCGTCGAAAGACCTGGAGCAGTATGAAGACTGGAATAAGACTTTTGGATGTGGACGTTAAGCGGGGCTCCTGGTCCCGGTCTGTTTAACTTATGGGTGTTGAACTGAGTTGGGAAAAAACTTTCAACTTGTGGAGGAATCTAGAGATTTCCAATATTTTCCTTGTTGCACATGAAGCACATAGCATGGGTGAACGAAATAGCAGGAGCACCTGACAAAAAAAGAGAGAGTGAAATAATTTTCTGTCTGGAGAAATCACTCTGCTCGTTATGCATTCAAAAGATTTTCATAAGTTTGTATGAGCCGGACTGTTTTATTTGGATGTTCACTTTACTGTTGCGTTGTGGTTTGGTGTAAGCATTGGGCACCATGTTGTGTGCTTGAACTGTGTTTCAAATGAATCCGTTTAAATTGCTTTAATTGCATTGCCAACATTTTATGTTTTCCTAATAAATTGAGATGATCTCCAGTGTATTGTGGCACTTTCCCTGACTCAAGCCTCCATACTCTCACCTAATCCACAGAGGGCAGTGTGTGTTTTGTTAAGAGCTTTATTGTCACATCTCTGATATTATCCCATAATTGTTCCTGAGGCTGCATGTGCTAATTGTATCCACGGAAGTTGGGCAACACAGAGAGCATCCTGGGTCTCATGTTGTAAAAAGAAAAGAAAAAAACAAAACTGAAAGCTTCGCCTCCCTTCCTCTTAGTGATTAAGACAGCAGTGGACTCAACAGGAAAATCTGTTACTGCAATGCCTCCTTTTCATTAGTAAAGAAGCATGAGCTCCATAATTTGAACTTTTAGTGCTCGCCCTGATCCACAAGGTTCATGGCCGGCGTAGATGTACATATTTCTGTCTGACCAGTTAAATCTCTCGGCTATAAGGCGGCCACTTGCGCTCCACACAGCAGAAACTTGGTTAATCCATCGCCAAGATGTCGCTCTGGTCAACAGAGACTCTTAACAGTGTTGATGTTTTGTCGCTGGTCATACATCCACTACGGAGGAGGACCATTATAGATTGTGCACACATGAAATGAAATTCTCATGTAAATTTAATGGAACAATCTTTGAAAATCTGGAAGCCAATGAAAGAAGACTTTCATTTATTTATCATCTTTTTTGTCAGGTCCCTGATAAATATTTCAGACGTGTGGTTGGCCACTGTATTGAAACTTTGCAGCGAAAGTTATCACACACCAGCACCCCCCGCACCCACCCACCCCCCTACAGCTGGACTGGGACAGATGCACAGAAATCCACTGGAGTTGCCATATGTGCTAAGTGTGCAGCTCAATTTGAGTGTGGCTGTGCAGCAGTGGTCACGTCTGGGGTTGTGTGGTCACAAACACACATCAAATATAGGTAGGTGTATTGGAAAAAAAAAATGTAATTTGACCGCCTATGTGCTTGTTCTTTAAATCTGTAATACTGACATTTGAAATGAAGGTAGAAATTGTATAATATCAGGTCAGTATTTAAGTAACCTGGAGATGTTTTTTTTGTAGCTTCTTTTTTCATTCAGAACCTTTACTGAAGTAAAAATACTCCATTCAAAAAATAAGCTCCTGTATTAAAAATATAACTGAGTAACAGCATAGAAGTATTCTACAGCAACAATAGTCATTGAATGCATCTCCATTCTGTAATCACTTCTCTATTTAGCAGTTTTCATTGTTGGTGGCGGGGTCTGCCATTTCCGCACTGAATTTAAATTGGGAAATTTATAGGAAACGATGTCGCATGTAGTCCAGTTTATTTGTAATTATTTCAGAAAACTACTTGACTGAAATCAGATTACATTTGCAATAATTATTTACAAACGTATTAGCAAAACAACACAAGTTTGTTTGGCTGCACTATAAATATAAATATACACCAGTGGCAGTTCATTTCAAACAGCTGTTACCACCAGTGAGCACAGGTGTCACCAAAACCAATCCTGCCTAAAAACATAAGGATTATAAGTAAAGATACTCTCTTTCCTGAAAATGGGACTGTTATATAGTCTGTAATACCAGTGAGTAGCTTTTTACTTCTACTACTTTACAGGCAGGTAGCTACTTTATTCCGAGCGGGTCACAAGATGAATCTGAGGAAAAGGTTCTGCGATGCAAATGTATATATTCTTTTCTTTTCCACGTAAGATATTGACTACTTCTACCTCCTCGGGCCTCAAGCAGCCCAAATGAAACCATGTCTAGAGAATTCTAGAAGGGAAACGTGTCTTCGGTGGAACTGCTAACAACTCATAGGCATCCGAAACGAGACAGGAGGCCCCAAGTAGACATTGCTTCTTTGTAAGATCTCACAATAGAATAGAATCCCTTTTTATTGTCATATACATACACACGAAATTTGACTTCTGCATTTGACCCATCCCTGTATATAGGGAACAGTGGGCTGCCAATGACAGGCGCCCTGGGAGCCGGGGTTCAGTGTCTTGCTCAGGGACACTACGACACGTGACACGTCCCAGTCAAGGATCGAACCGTTGACCCTGCGGTTACCAGACAACCCTCTTAAGCCAGTGAGAAAAGTATAGAGCGCACAGTATAAATACTCAATTAAAGTACCTGTACATCAAAATTGTACTTAAGTACAGCCAATGAGTGAGTATATTTGGTTACTGGGTGAAGACCCTAAATTTGATGCAGAAATTTGGCCCCACATGTTTGGAAACGCTTGCACAGCGACTGAATTCACAAAGCATGCAGTGAATGTTCTATTGTGGCCTTATATTAATGGCACACGGTCATGTAAAGTGTGAAGCACCTTGAGTACTAACATCTTGTTGGATCCTTGGCTGAATTGGTTGAATCCGATTCTTTCAGCTGCTTGAAAGGGGAAGTGAGATTTGGGATTCTGGCAGGGCCAGAGTTGGTTGGCCAGATTAATCCCCCTCATGCAAATGCCCTCCCTCCCCTGTTGGGTCCCAGTCAAGCGTGGGGGTGCGGGGGCCTCGGCGCTGGCCACAGCTGCTTCCCGTTTCTGCTAAATCACACAGCAGCCATCTGGACGAGGCTGCCGCCACCGAGCTCCTCCTGCCGGCCCCGACCGAGCCTCCGCAGACGGGCCCAGCCCTCAGAGCCCCGGCCCCTGCCTTCTGCTCCAGTGCCCGAATCCTTCGCTGCTCCTCAGAGGACCACACTCTTCAGGTCCTGGACACGGCACATGTCCACATGCTGGTGTGTGTGTGTGTGAGAGAGTGTGTGTGTGTTTGCTGCTTATGCTACAATGTACTCCCTTGATGTCACAATTTCAACACGAGGGTCTCTGTGTGGACAAATGCCCCCCGTGATGTTTCAGCCTTCTGTTTGGCATCCTTGGTGAATTCATATGAGGGAATGTTTTTAGTGAAAAAGAATATGCGAGCGTGTGGTTTATAACTACAACCACACTGAAGAAAAGATCGATATCTGACGGAAATTCGCTCTTTTATGCAAAATCTAAATACTTTGAAACCACTCATGGTAATCGTATTTGGAGAGGTGTTTATTTATTCTCCTCTCACAGTAAATATTCTCAGTGTTTGTGTGTTGTGTACACAAATGCCAGTCATTCACTCTTTCTTGACTCTTCCTTGACAGGCAGGAGAGAGCAGCATCTTGAATGACATCTAAACTTAATTATTTCAGAAGGTTCGAGAGTGAGAAATGAAATCTCCATATTTTTTAAGAAGGTAAAAACTTTTCATTAACTCCAGGAATGATTTTCAGTTTAACGTGGACATTTTGACAGCTGGTTAATAATAATAATAAAAATATCCATATGAATTTATAGAGACGATCCCAAGTAGCTGCAGGTCTGTTAGCAGTAGACCTTTAGTCATTAAACACCTTCCTCCTTATTACTAGACTCATCCACAGTAACACACAACACTTGCCCACTCTTTGTGCATATATAAAATATCCTTTATTGATATTTTGCAAGCATAAAGCTCCTTCAAACCTCAAATGGCTCGTTTTCTTTCTGTAAATGAAACGATTCTTAGCCATCAAGTGCCAAAACAAAAGGCCAGGATAACATTTTCTTCTGATAAAATTCAAAATAAAACCCAGCAGCGGTCCTGTTTTCACCTCAAACACATTTAGTACAGTTGGACAGAAAGAGATGCAGCTTTTATTAACTACTCTACAAACAAACATCGAATAAATACAAAAACAGACAGGCATGTAAATGTGATATAAATAATATGTAAGTTGTTACAAATACAAGAACAGGTTGAAACTTTGAAAGGGACGTGTGGGGTTATCTACACTGATTGTTTTTATCGATTGCATTTCATTTTCTAAAATGGGTTTTACTGCACTGGAAACAACTGCAGAACATTTCGGACACTTCAATAAACAGATTTGTAAATGTGAGGATGTCGTTTCTATACTAAATCTAGAAAAAAAGTTGCTGCATGGTTTTCCAAAAGAAAAGACACATTTTATACATGTGGCAAACTGTAACTACATCATTTAAACCTATGTAGGATTGTGGCTCAGTAGCTGTGTTATCTTCACTGAACATCATTTTGCTTCTTTAACAAAAAAAAAAAAAAAAAAAAAAAGACTACTCTCCCTTTTGAACACGGCATTTGAAAAGGGAAATAAAAGTCTTGATTTATAGTTGTACATGAATCTGTGTTCCACAAACATGCATACTTTGTATAAAAAACAACTTTCAGACATCAACAGTGTATTTTACATCTTGTATTTCTTATGCATTTATTTCAGCCGCACGTCTGCATGACTGAGTGTGTGTGTGTGTGTGTGTTTGTGTGGCGTGTTGGCCACACACACACACCTGTTTGTCTGTGTGGAAGTGTGTTCTCTGGTGGACGGGGCTCAGTAGCGATGCTCCCCCCGCGTTATGTGCGAGGAGAACTCGTATCGGTCTTGACTCCGGTGACCACAGAGGTTGCACTCGAAGGGGTCTCTGAAGCCATGGCAGCCCATGTGAATGGTGTACATGACGTGGTCCAGGAAGAGAACGCGGCAGTGTTCGCACCGGTACGCCCTCACCTGCTCCCCGTCCGCCGTCACCACCTTGAAGCCCTCGGACGCCATCTCCATGCTGGCCCGGATGGCCTCATACTGCCTCTGCTGCTCCTCCTTCACCAGAGGGAGCATGCCGTTCCTCACCCCCGAGGTGATGTGGTTGGTCAGGTAGATGAGGCCGGACGCTGCCCCGCCGGGGCGATCCTCATTGTTGCTCTCGGTGTCCGTGGAGTCCTGGCCGCTGTGGCTGGGCGAGCCGTCCTTCTCGCTGGAGGCGGACTTGGAGTTGGAGAGGAGGAGCAGGTTCTCGGCCGCGTTGTCTTTGGCCGTCAGGCTGAGGCCCGTCCCCATGTGGCCCTCGGGCGCCGGCTTGTGCAGCGGGTACATGGAGCTGAGACCCGCGTCAGAAGAGGAGGCCGGGGAGGTCTGGACCAGAGGCCGGAGCGACTCGGCCCCCAGGTAGCTGATGGCGCTGTTGATGGCCTGGTCGATGACGTGGGGCTGAATCATCTCACCTGCTCCTCCGTCGTAGGAGAGGTCTGACAGACGTTTGTCGCCTGAGGGTTGGGAGAGAGACACAAGAGCATTGTGGAGGTTGTACTTCACTAACACGCTTGAACTTTCACCTCCGTCCTGTGATTACACCACATTAATACCAAGCCTGCTCCTTTCTAGCTGAGTTAGAAAATGACTCACTGTTTTTGTTTCTTCTGGTCTCATATTGGTATTTGTAGTCTCATACTAGCTTTTTTCCTGAGCCTCCTAATTTTCAGTCTTTTACTATGAACATTATCATCATCTTAATGTAATATTAATATACATGATCAAACACAATTTCAACATTCAAACATAGGCTTTTCTAACAGTGTTTAAACAAGTTAAAGGCACAATTCCTGTTGAGGCCGAACTGCAAAAATAGACTGTAAAACTGTAATAAACACAAACACATTGCAGCTTCAGAGGCGCAGCGGTTACACAAATGTATCAGCAAAAGCAGCGATATTGTATATTACACAAAGGAAGCAGATTTCAGCCCTTACCCACAAACTTCTGTGGCATAGTGCTCTTACGCTTAGCTACGTTATTAGCTAGTCTGTCTAGCACCAAGGCTCTGTCAGATCCCATCTGGCTTAAGTCTTCCCTCTGCTCATTCTGGTTGCTTTCTTCCTTTACTACTGGAAAGCAAGACAGAAAAGTAGGTTTCAGAGTCAAAGTGATTTGAGTTTGTCCTGTTTAAAGTGATGAGCTGGCGCCTGACAACAACACGATGGTATTTTCTGGTCTGATGGTAGGTTTTCTCACAGAGCGGACTATTCTGACACACTTGGTCTATAAATAAAGTATTTGTTCATGCTCACAGATGAGGTATAGATGTGTTTCTAGTCTAGAGTGCAGAGGTTTACAGCACCCTGCACATTAAATATCTCTACAGTCAGTTCATTCAATAGATGACTGGGTAAACATGGATAAATACAGAACTTTATCCTGACAACATGATTAAATTGACTAAATTATCCCTGCAATCATTTCACACAGCTGCAGAACTTCTGCATGATATATTCGAATGGAAATGACCGTAATTTGACCTGACCTGTTGGAGAATTTAGTAACAGCTTCATGGTGCGCTGCTGCTGCATGCATAGCGCGTCCTGCACTCGGGGTAAAGTGGGCCCTCAGATTTGGGTGAAAGTGAAGTGTGCGTCTCGTGAGGCACCAACCTGTGTAGATGCTGTTCTGCAGCCCCATGCACTGGAGGTAGTTGTGACACCGCTCCTTGTGCTCCTCGAGAGAGCTGCGCTGCTTGTAACTCCGCCCACAGTAAGCACACTTGTGGGGTTTTCCAACTGCAGAGAAAAAAACCCCCACATTAGATCAGTGAACAAGGCAGTGCTATATTGTATGTCATGGTTTATATTAATATGATATTACCTTTATATCTATTTTTCTTTCGTTACAAAATAGAGATTCAACCTATAGTTATATTTATATACTCTGCTGTTCTCACTGCCCTTTTTGGTGGCTCTTTTCCTGGAAAAATACAGGAACTGATTTTACATTTCCAGTTTGAGTGGAAAAAATAGAAGAAGACAAACTGGGTATTTAGCGTGAAGAGTGGTAAGACAAAGAAAAGAGTACCGCCTGCAACGGGTTCATGGAGAGAAACCCCAACGAAAAAAGACCCGGCAGTACCGCCCACACAGCTGATCTTTGTAGCTGCCACTGAGGTCATGTCCTCTGTGTTTTTCGGGGGGAATTTGGGAAGCAACTTGGGGCTGTTTATATTTTACAAATAAAACTTACTCATAGTGGGTATGTTATGAGCTGATTCTTGTGTAGAGTGTATATTTAAAAAAATTATGCCAACAAAATAAATAAATAAGGTATTTCCCCATCAGAAGTTTATTCCTGGTCTTGTGGAGAAGGCTTTTAAACTAGATAATAATAGACCCAAATTTGTTGAATAAAATCTATTGAAATTGTAAATGAACAGTTGAATAAATAGAATGTTTTTTAAAAGGAGAGCAATGACCTCAGTATTTCTAAAAGTCTGGCTACGGCCCTCGTTTATTTTTGGTGTTTAGTCAATCCCAAAGTCCTGGTGCTTTAAAAACTTACAAGAGCACCAAATGTGTATTAATCCATGGCTGAACGTGGTCCCCAACACATACACTATTTACTGCAGTTTGAGCAATGTTTGCCAAAAACTACAGTGCCCTGCTCAGCCTTTTTGAGAAATGACATTATATTCATTGTGACCTGTTTTAGAGCCTGCCTTTGGTAAGAATGAATGAGCTGAGTGTCACAAACGCAGTAGAAAGTACTGACAGACTAACACGGTAATCGAAGACAGTAAAATAAATTGATTTAAGTTGAAACTGCTGTGCAAGAATCATTTTGCAGTTTATCCCTTCACTGTTCTGCCGAGCTATTCAGAGCAGGCTTTGTAAGTGTGCTGTTTACACCCAAATATTTCATTAGCCCATACTTCTGCAAAGCATTTTGCAGAAAAAAAAAAAAAAGTGACACCATATCTACACCCTGTCAACTTCCCCTTGCATAGCACTAATCTCTCACCGTATGCACTGCGGAACAGGACATGCCTTTTGTAAAGGAAATCCAGGAGTTACCACGAGTGCAGACGTTTTCAGTGAGGGTGACCTTTGCGTACTCACCCGAGTGGGTGCGCAAATGGCCGGTGAGGGCGTCCCTCCTGCGACAGGCGTAGCTGCACAGGTGACACTTGAAGGGTTTCTCCCCCGAATGGAGCTTGATGTGACGCAGCAGGTTGCCCTTCTGGGTGAAAGAGGCACCGCACTGGCTGCACTGAAACGGACGTTCTCCTGAGGACAACAACACAACAGATGCACACTATTGTAAAGAGGCAGCTCAAAACACAGCGCGTATGTTTCACTGGCACTCACTTTTATATGTTTTTTATTTTATGTTCTTGATTTGTAATGTTTTGTCTTCATTGCACCACTCTCCCTGACCTCCCTGTGTTCGATCCCTCCACTGACGGGCGAAAAAAGCACAAAGTCTCTGTCTTTTAATGCGTGGATGAAGGAGCGTGCTGCAGGAAATGTGGGGTCGCTGCACTACAAGCACACCGAGCGCCAGAACAAGCCGGATGACGGAGCGTCTCTGGGGCAGAGAGCGCTCCAGCAGCCTGCGAGAGGGTTTCACAGCAGAGTGACACTCCATCTCTCCGTGCTCCCCCTGCCCCACCGGCTTCTGGCGCTCTGATCGAACAAGAGCCTTTCAGACTCAGCCTGCCAGTTCCGTAATGCACCATTGCCTAGGTCAATTTGATCTGAAAATCTCATTTTTTCCTCTTCTTCGTCTCTAAAATAAGAGCGGCACATCACAATGCAAATTCAGCCTCATTTGAATAAAGCGAAGGAAACACTTTGTGTTGAGAGCCAGTCTTCCTGATCAGCGCTTCTGGAATAAACCAATATCCAGCCTCTCCGAGTGTTGTGGCATTCTGTGAGAACGTTTTAATATGGCTTTTTTTTTCTTTTTTTCTCAAAGGCCCCCCATAAAATAAGAGTCACCAGTGAAGCAGCAAAAATATATAAAAAAGGAAATTCATTAAAAATGCATTTCAGGAGCAAAGACTCACCACAGAGTATTTTCTATTTAAATAGGAGGCACTTCATTATATCTTTTATTGTACTTTCTTTTGCATTTACATTAGTCGAGTGTTCCTTTCTTCCATTTTGAGTTTCATTAGTTTCTAAAGCTCGACAGCTAAGTGCCTTTTTCAAAAATGTTCCCCACCACTGGTTTGGCTTCATTACAATAGAATATCAATTTTGAAATTTGAAAAAACTTTTAATAGCCAGATAATTGTCACTTCGTAGAGATTCCATTTAATTGCCGCAGATATATCCTGTTTCTCAACTGAGGGCATGTTTTTTCGGACCAAGTTCTTCTCTGCTACTTTATCGCTGCAATAATTTGATAAGTTACTGTTGCTTGTTATGTGGTAATCCGGAGTCATTTAGATGAACAATAATAATGCTAATGGTATGCTCAAAGTCTATTTCACGCATGATAGGAAGGCTTACATGCATACAGCCAAACGCCTCAGTGTAAGGGTGCCTGCAAACATAAGAACAGGCTCTAAAGTTTATTTATGCATAACGGTACTGCTGGTGTTAGTAGGAGACAACCAATCTAAGCTTCATTTATGCCATTTAAAGTCTGAAGAAATGCTCTACGCATGTGCGGGAGCCACGGCAGACACCTTTCTACCCCTCATCCATCCTCTCATACTGACAGTGAACATGGGTGCACATGAAGGGCAAGAAGTGTTGCAGGTGGCTTACCAGTGTGGCTTCGCTTGTGCACCATCAACACATTGGGGCCAATGCAAACTATCCCACAGATATCGCACTTGAGCTTCCCGTTGGGCAGCCGGATACCGCCGGCCGAGGAGAAGGCCTTGGCTTCGAGGCTCGGCTGTGAGCCGTTCACCTTGGCCCCCGAGGCATCGTTCACGCGCAAGTCTTCCGCGCACTCTTCCTCCTCCACGCCATTCATGTCACAGGCCAGCCCATTCTCCTCATCACTGCGAGCCTCAACTTTAATGTTACAGGCTGGAAAAGAGGGCAAGGGTGGGGGCCACGGTTTAGAATACGAGCATGATTCTTTCATGATGTTATGTACTAAAGATGGGCAATTATCAGTGTGGTATTGAGACTGTGACATAAGAATAGATAGAGCTGCTTATTGTAACATTGTGGTGTAGCCTGGAAGTTGCGTTTGCCTGTTCTGAAAGGCTTCATAATAGGAAAGTGAAACGATTTTGTGAACCTGAGTGACTGTCCTCACTGAAAGAATTGATGTTTCTAATAAATGTTTGGTCGTTATATCAACTTTATCTCACTGATTGTTTCTAAAAATGCAAGAGAACTATTTCATTTTGTTTGGTGTGACTTGGTTTGTTCATTCTAAGTAAAAAACATAGTTTAAGTATGTCATTAACATTGTTCTTAATCTTTAATTCATTTTTGTTTTTATTTTATTTCATAATTTACCTGACAGATTGTCATAGATAAATTATTCCTCGTCTCATGTTTTGCATTTTATTTTGGTGAGATGCTTCCTTAAAGTTCTCTTCTTTTTTTCTCTGAATGAGACATCACATTATGTGTGACATTGTTCTTTTTTTTTTTTCTTGTTCAAATAAATTACGTACTTTCTCATTTTATAAAGACTAATTTGATGAACTCAAACTTTGTTTCTTGCAGCCATGAAACTGAACTTTAATAGGACCTGGCTTTACTATAGCCAATGTGTTTCTGTTCATCCCCTCGCTCCTCTGTCGGGACAGACACTGTGTTTAACGGCACTGCAACTGCACTATAGTATAACTAGGGCAACAACGCTTCTGCAAGGGAAAACCTCCTTTAGTGCACAATGCAACATTTTCATGTTTACCAGGATGCTGCAGCAAAACTTCAAAAGCTTCCCCTTTTACTTAAGACATTTCTGTGAATAAAGCCTGTGAAAAATCAAGAAACTTCAGATAAGATCAACCTACTCATCTAAACCGTAGACTATACTGCCTAATTATTTCCCTGCCGCATGTCTGCACAGGGATACATAGGTAGATAGCGTGCTTACTGTTTGAGGATGTCAGCGATGAAGAAACACACAGCTCATCTAGCACCATCACACTTTGGTAAAACAAATGACAGCAAGATAAACAGGAAACAGAGACACAGGAAGCAGTGTGAAACTAGGGACGACGGCGGTGTCTATCAGAGCAAGAGAGTGCGATGTACACACGCAGGCACACATAAGACAAACTCACATTCGGCCATTTCACTATGTAGAGGGCTTTTTAATCCTCCTAATGCAAGCCTTTCTGAGTACAGAAACTAAATGTTGCATGATTGATGACTGGCAACTGTAATTTATACCAAAAATATAATCTCCATTAAATGTGTGGTGTTCCCAAAGTGATCACAAAAGAGAAGTGTCGTCTGCGACAAACTACCTGCTCCTTCTTTTCCCACCACAGAGCAGTTAAGAGAACCGACAGATCTTGCAAGTCCCACAGCTACACCAGCTTGTGGTTTGCATGTCACGGTTGCAGCCTGGTTTCCCCATGCCTCTACCTCTGTTTGTACAACTGAAGAGGAAGAAGTGGAAATCATGAAATATAGGAATCCATGGAAAAGGGGAAGCTTCAGAAAGAGGGCCTGTCTAACTGAAATACCAAGAATTATGGAGAAGTGACAGAAAGGGAAGCATGGGAAGGGAATTGTAAAACAGCCTGTAACTGAAACCTGGTTGTTGTTGTTTTTTTTCTTTTGTAGGAGTTTTGTTTTCAACGACAGCCCATAAATCCCCTAATGTACAGAGTGTTAGACAGGAGGAGATGGAGCACACTAACAGATCATGAGATGTTTATGATCGCTTTTTCCGAATCAAAGTAGCATAATCCCATCGTCCATCTCCACGCATTTCTTTCAACAACAATCTGCTCATCTGTTAAAATTCTGTGGACAAACTCTCGGGTCTTGTTGCTGATCAGATGAGATAAGAGAGACACCAGCCGTGCACGCATAGGGAAGGAAAGGCTTCGCTGTTTGTAAAAACAAAATGGTGCTTATGTTCCATTAAAGTGGAAAAGCTGATGATGAGTTTCGCTAGTATTCATTACATCTTTCTTTTTTTAAATATAGCAAGCATTTATCCATTACTTTTCTCTATTTATCCATTACTTTCAACTATATAACCTTTTATCTACAACATTAACTATTTTGAGCTCTTCTAACTTTAACTATTTTACCCATGTATTCATTACTGTTAGCTAACTATTTTAAATGTGTACTATCCATTACTCTAAGCTAACGTGGACTATTTTAACCTTTTATGCTTTTTAGCGAACATAATTTCTCTATTTATCCATTACTTTCAACTATTTAACCTTTTATCTATATCATAACTATTTTATCAATGTGTTAAACTGTTTATCTATTACTGTTAGCTAACGTTAACTATTTAAACTGTTTATCCATTACTATTCGGTAACGTTAACTATTTCAACTGTTTCTTTATTACTTTTGGCTAACATTAACTATTTCTATTGTTTATTCATTACAGCCAACTGTTTCTCCTTTTCTACGCTACTACTACATTACACACACTCTCAACGAGTGGTGTTCCCCTGACTCATTATGAGAATGTTTTATTTTCATTTTTTTGTTACATTAACTACAATCTTCCCCAGAAACACACCTGGTTGGGAAACACTCGCTAAAGACACGTTTGCACCTTCTATGACATTTTGTGTCAGGTTGAGCATGAGTCCTACTCACAAGAGAATTACAACCTGTACTAAGCAGCCGGAGCCATCTCTTTCGGAGACTTGACTTTGCACACGTTACAAATAATGGGTATGAATTTCTCACTTGAACCACTACCGGGTTTCAGTCAGGCATAAGCACTTCACGTAAGGAGGGATTTTTTTTTTAGGGCAAGTGATCAGGTTTGTTCTATTTGCATATCACAGAGCTTGAAAGCAAAACTCTGCAAGTGGCTACACCACTTACCTAACCCTAACCCTAACCCCAACACTCTTAATTAAATTTATGGTTTTAGCCACATAACCTGTGGTTGCCACAGCTTTCTGGGTAACTGAAGTATTTTGCTAATGTCAACAGGGAGTTGTAAAATAATGTACCAATAAAAAGGCTGAATGGAACTATTGCTCAGTATTGGCAGGAGAGAATTTTCTCTGCACATGGAAATGTAGCTACGGTTACAGGAATACCTTCAATATAAAAATAATAAAAAACTAAATAAAAATATTAAAAGGTATATACTGTAGGCTACATAAGAAATTGTGTTTCTTCACATTTATTTCAGAGTTCTTTGAACAATTAACTTTAAAAAACCTTTATGTTTATCTGTGGTTGTCAGGTTTTCAGCCGGCTAAAGCAGCCAGAAGGGAACCATGAACGCTGGGCTGGGCTGGGCTGGGCTGGGCTGCCCCCCCCCCCCCCCTACTTCTCATGGATATGGGGAAGTTGTGACTGAATTGGGAATAGGAAGAAGGCTTTTTAATTTTTATCTTGTTTGTCACGGTCACACATCCTGATTTGCTCGTTTTGGGAAGCAAGGTTCAGACAAACAAAAAAGGTCGCAATAAAATGATTATAAACTGATGTGGATCTAATCCTCAGGATGCAGATGAAGGGGTAGAATGAAACAATGACAAATACTGAGAGAAGTGACTTACTAATATATATCTAAAACAAAGCTATTTTACTTGTGTAAAAGACGTATTTTTGTACAAAAATAAGAAATAATTGGAAGATCGGAAGCCATTTAGCAAGTGTGTTAGTTCTGCAGCGTGGAAACACAGGGAGCCTGCTGGAGGTTCCTGTTACTGACTTGTGCTGCTCTCACTGCCTGAAAATAACCCCATGTGCAAAACAGTGGGACCACATGTGTTAAACCACGCCAGTAACACTCTCGACGCCAAAAACAGCCTGCTTTTCCCCTCACACTTTTTTTTCTTTCAGAAACTCTCCTCCACGTTTTCGGGAACTAGACGGCTCAGTCTCCCTCTTAGTCTCATGTCTCTGAAATAGCAAAGGCTACTATCTGAATCACCGAAAGTGAAAGAAAAATCATTTCACTGGGATGTCGAGAAGGCCATCGTACCGCCTTGTGACTTTAACCAAATATGCTTCCATTCAAATTTGTATATGAAGCAACACAAGACAATTAAATGAATTTAGTTTGCATTTTTGTGACAATTTACTAAACACACTGATATGGGCCACAACAACCTTGCAGCGTTGTGAATACGCAGTGACGATCCCAGGCGGTGAAGACTTATTTGCAACAGGAAACAACCTGGGTTTTGAGGTTTTGAGCTTTCGATACTTTGAGGTCCGTGTCCCAGATATAGTCCCCCTGCTTTTTGCCTTTTTTCACGACAGAGAACTGAGCAGCACATGATCCTGGGTGATAATTATAACTCATTCTGCCTTTTATCACAGAGGCAGCCATGCATAGATGTACCAGATACTTGCACTTCCCTTCTTTCTCTCTGCCCCTATATAGACGCACGTACACAGACAAGCGCGAAGTGATCGCACTCTTATAGGGAATGAACAGAAACTCACATTGTAGTACATAAAGACGTACACGCCACAGCCAGCTGTGCCCTCGCAACTCTTATACGATGAAAGTCAGACATTTAGATCAGCTGCTTTCCGACTATTTCCCTTTTTTCCCCACAGATTGTACTAAACGTCCATCATTCCACTGAGATGAGATGTACACAGTCGTATAAAACATGGCTCTGCAAAAGCTCCCTAACTCGATTTAACACGTGTTGATTGTTGCCATCGCAGCACTTCGCAGAACTGATTTCTGAGCTCTGAGCTCAACAGTTGTAAAGTCAAACAGAGAGCCTTTGTGAGTAAGCGCGTGTGTGTGTGTGTGTGTGTGTGTGCAGGTGTGTGACCTATGTGGTGTAGTGATGCACTGATCTCTCTGAGCTCGGATCCTCTTCCTGGACTCTTTATCTCCAGGAGTGTTGAAACTGTCTGATGGCAAGTTCTTCTTAGGAAACTCTTGCACATCCTATTTCAGTTGAGCTGAGTTGCACCTCTTTAGGCACATTTCACATCTCAAACTTCGCAGAGTCTTTACGTTTCTATGTCTTCCATATCTCCTTTCTTTGTGATTGGTGATGATTTAATAAATAAAGTAAATGAATGACAATGGCCCTCATGTGAATTCACCTCATCTGAGTGCATCTTCAGAGCGGTGACGTTCCCTATCATTTTGGACATTCAGTGAACGTATTAAATGTTTATAATTACATACATATACAACAACTTAGAAACATTACCTGTATTATTTAAGCTATGAAAACTGAATTTTATGTCTGATTCATCTTGCCGTCATGTAAAACTGATTAGCTTTTAATGACCAATAATGATTCCCCCTGATTTCTCACAAACCACCCATGTTAGGGGACTTGAGATAAATATACCGCGCCCCGATGTGAATCCCCCTAGCATGCTTCATCCTTATTTTCACGATGATATTCCCTGGCTTGATGTTCACAAACTCAAATCAAGGCCACATTAGCTATTCCTTAAGATTGGGCTTATTAATGACATGCTATGTATCAAAGGGATTTTTTCTTTTTCTTTTACCTTTTCTGCCAATGACCTAAATGTGTCTCTTTGCAGCTTTAAATTAATTTTTCCAAGGGATTTGGAACGGCAAATATCTCCCACTGGATGTGTATGGGATTAAGTTGTAAAATCATTTTAATGTCTTTTTTATAAATATATATGTTATGCTTTTGATACTGACATTACTTTCATTTAACCATTTTACACTGATTTGGATGCTTTGGGAGTGAACACATTACTGTTGGGAAAGGCACTGCGGTGGGTTTGACTCAGTTTTGATTGCTGCTTCATGGATACACTCAATTTAACGTAGCAATCACGCACTTGGATTACTTCATTCTTAATTCGCACAAGCGTCAGTGATGTTCTGGGTGGCTGTGGGTGCGTTTGGTGAGACGTTGCCTCGTACCTTTGTCCCCTCTGTTGTTCTGCTGGTGGGTGGAGCTGGCTGACAGGTCCTCGGGGACGGCCATGGGGTCCTCTGCCTCCTCGGATGCGTCATTGATGGGGGGGCTGTCCCGGCCTGGGGAGACACACACCAGCAAACACACATCACTCACCATGGGGACCCTCCACGTGTCTCATTCAGGAGACGCAAAATGTACCTCCGGGCGCTGTAAGAGCCCGTTTGTTGGGCCTATTGTGTCTACTTTCTGCACTCTACGGCTCAATCATGCAGTAGTCTTTTACCTGGCATCTGGGCCATTTCCTGGGCCTCCTCCGTCTCCATGCGGTGCAAGTACTCTAATGGGAGAGAGATGGAGATGTAGATGTGTGAGTTTAATCAAGTGCAGGCGGAGGAAACAACATTATAAAAAGGCAGAGTGGAGTAAAGGGTGTACTTCTCAGCGTGACTTTGTCACCTCAGTGAGATCACTGTTGTCAGCGCCGCAGACACACCACTGTCCCCCACATTACATTACAAAGAATCACAGACATTTTCATTACAAGTCTGACAGAGAGACTGAGCTCGGAGAGTGGCTTGGCTCCGGCTGACGGGGCCCGCTGGTAGCGGCGGGTCGCTGGGAACGGGCTTTCAGACCACATTTGTTATTTATTGTTAATTTCCTGCCACGTAATCATCCAAAAATGCAAACTGACTGCCGCAAAATTAAGCAGAAAATTAACTGGCCCCAGGTCACGAGGATGCGGGTGTTCTCCGCTCACAGCTGATCGGCGCTCGTGTTCTCTCTAATTTACTGAGCATGCATCGCTGAGCCCGCGGCCTGGGCACAGACTCATGCAAGCCACAATCAGAAACAAAGAGCGGGGAGGACAGAGAGGGAGAGTAATAGAGAGGAGAAGGGGACAGAAGAGCAGCGAGATAGTTATAGAGGCAGAGACGTAGACAGCAATGGGAGGGCAAGAAGTCAGGAGAGCGAACGCAACAGGAAGGCGCGGAGAAAAGAAAAGAGACAGAAAAGCAGGCTGAAGGACAGAGAAGTTCTCTTTATTTATGAATTCTTCTTTTTTTTTTTTTTAGAAGCAATCCTCCGGCCAGGGCTGAATATCTGAGGAGTCACCAGTGCTCGTGGCCCCATTAATAATGGATGGCCCTCAAGCCTGCAGCAGATGGGCCCGACAGCCTCAGCCCCAGCTCCGCCACTTCAAGAAGCCCTTGGTGGGGCCGCTGCCCAGTCCAAGCAGCCTCACAGGGAGAAGTGAAGCTCCCGAAAATAGCGAAACAAGCCCAAGGGAGAAGGGGAACCTAGGCCTTCCTGTTTTACTGACAGATGGCTCCACACATTTGGAACAAATAGTGGGAAGCGACCGGGCCGCTCTGTCGCAACGCACAACATTCTGCGGAGTCAAGTCAGGAGCTCGGTGGCATGCAGACGCCCAGGATGCAAGTGTGAGGGGGGGGGGGGGGGGGGGG